GAAGCGACAGCGCCTGGAAGCTGTGAAGAAGCTTAACTTTGGTGCAGATGATGCGTTGGTTCCTGATGTCCTCCAGGATGCTGGTCCAGCGGCACCTTCTGCTCCCCAGACTGTCAGGTTGAACCCCACTTTTAGCAGGGAAACCTCCGGTGGGGTTCGAGGGCTTTTTCCCTCTTCCCTGCTAAAGGAATATGTTATTCTCTAGCTTGGACCACCTGGAGATGAGCGGCATGGTCCCTCTCCAGACCACACCACCCTCCGAGAAGAAGCGGGTCCTCAAGCGCCCACCCATCCTTGAGGATTACATCAACGTGACGTCCACCGAGGGCACCAGGGTCTTCATGGTGGTGAGAGATGATCCTTCCAGGACAGGAGTGGAGGTAAGGCAAAGCTGGGTTTGCTTCTCTGTGACCTCCATCTGGTTCAGGAGGAGATTTTTGGAACATGAAATGTTTGTGAGTATCGATATGAACGTTGGGTGTGTGTCTTCTGCTCCTTGCAGCTCCCTGATTCCCTTGGCTGGAACGCGCGCCGGCTGCTCCACTTGCTGGGGGTGCCTTTCTCCTACCTGAAGGAGCAAGTGGGTGAAGAGGTATCACATCTTCTACCGACCTTCCCATCTTCCCATCCCACCTCCGGATAGCTGCAACGTTGGCTCCCAAATCCCCGATCCCCCCAGTCATGGTTTATTGGCACATCTCTGACCCCCCTCTCGCCCTCTTTGTGCCCAAGCGTCGAAGGCGCGTTCTGGAGGCGTCGCAGCACCTGACGGAGATAATAAACAGGTGAGACCGTGAGCCAGCACTGTGCCCTCGTGGCCAGGAAGGCCAATGGCATCCTGGGGTGTATCAGAAGGGGGGTGGGCAGTAGGTCAAGAGAGGTTCTCCTCCCCCTCTACTCTGCCCTGGTGAGACCGCATCTGGAATATTGTGTCCAGTTCTGGGCCCCTCAGTTCCAGAGGGACAGAGAACTGCTGGAGAGAGTCCAGCGCAGAGCCACCAAGATGATGAAGGGAATGGAGCATCTCCCTGCTGAGGAAAGGCTGAGGGAGCTGGGTCTCTTTAGCCTGGAAAAGAGGAGAGTGAGGGGTGACCTCATCAATGTTTATAAATATGTAAAGGGTGAGTGTCAGGAGGATGGAGCCAGGCTCTTCTCTGTGACATCCAGTGATAGGACAAGGGGCAATGGGTTCAAGCTGGAACATAGGAGGTTCCACTGGAATAGGAGAAAAAACTTCTTCACGGGGAGGGTGACAGAGCACTGGAACAGGCTGCCCAGAGAGGTTGTGGAGTCTCCTTCTCTGGAGACATTCAAAGCCCGCCTGGATGTGTTCCTGTGTGATCTGATCTAGGTGTCCTGCTCCGGCAGGGGGATTGGACTAGATGATCTTTCGAGGTCCCTTCCAATCTCTAACATTCTGTGATTCTGTGAGATGCTGGGATGAAATCCCACTCCTGTCCCTGCCGCGTTGTCGGATGCGGCTCCCAAGGTGCTCCAGTGGGGTCCAGGTTTTGGGCCCCTGTGAGCAGAGGAGCATCTTCACCCTCAGCATCCCCAGCTTGGGAAGTCTGGGTGTAATTCCCTGCCCCAACTCCCTGGCAGGTTTGGGGCAAGTTCATTCTTCCTTGCAGTTGCCTCGAGAGTGAGACCAGCACCGAGAGCCCGGAGCCAAGCAGCGAAGCGGAGCCGGCAGCTGAGGAGGAGTCTGGGCTGCATTGCCTCTGGGTGGACAAGTTCACCCCCCGGAGCTACCTGGAGCTGCTCAGTGATGATGTGAGGTGCTGGGATGAGCGGGGTTGGGGCTTGTGTGGGTTCAGCACTTACAGAACTCTCTGTGATGCTGTAGGATCGCGGTTGTATGGTGCTGCCTTTGATCGCGGGGCTTTCCAGAGCGCTGGCTTCTGGGGGGGTCTGTTGGTGTCAGCCCTCCCTGGGGGGTCTGTCGGTGCCAACCCTGTCCAGGGGCTGTCCTGCTGCGGGGAGCTTGTGTTGGGGGGTTTCAGCTGTAGGCTGTGGAACGTGTGACAAAAGAGATTGTGGAAGATGACTAAAATAAGATAAAAAAGATTGGGTGGACTTTAGCCAGGAATTGTTGGCTATTTTGATTTTTTTTTAAATATTAGAAGTTTTGTAGGGGATTGGAAATGATGGAAGAGGCTGAGAAGCGCTGGGTTGAGCCAGGACAGACGAGGGACAGCAGGGCTGGGGCTGATGTGACTTGTCCTGGGTTGCCCCACGGGAAGGTGGCTGAGCTGGGAAGGGACACAGCGTTCCCAGAGCGTCCCGCAGAGATGCTGGGTGGAAACGGGGGTTTGACGGGGTTTTCTTGCCCGACATGCAGTACACCAACCGCTGCCTCCTGAAGTGGCTGAAGCTCTGGGACACGGTGGTGTTCGGGAAGGAGAAGGCTGTGAAAAAGGCCAAGCCCAGCGCCGAGGCTCATCCCCCACTCCATCAGCCCAAGGAGCAGCAGAATAAATGGAAAACGAAGGTGCAGCTCACCGAGGAGATCCTGGAGGCTGAGCTGGACCAGCACAAGAGACCCAAGTACAAGGTGGGAGGACAGGAGGCCACTGCGGTGGGTCTTCCCTCTTCTCTTCTCTTCTCTTCTCTTCTCTTCTCTTCTCTTCTCTTCTCTTCTCTTCTCTTCTCTTCTCTTCTCTTCTCTCACCTTCTCTTCTCTTCTCTTCTCTTCTCTTCTCTCACAGATCCAGGAAAAACTGGATTCCTTGTTTTTTCTTAGCGAAAATAGAATTTTCTCATTTCTTTTTCTGTTTGGGCTTGAATAATGTGATAACAAGGAGAGGGGAACAGACTTCCTTCAGCCAAATTAAATGGGGCAGTTGAGGAAAGATGCACCCTTTTCAGCAGAGCTTGGTCCTGGCTTTATTTGTTAGGGGCAGACAGAACATGCCTTTGATTGAGAGTTTCTGCATCTGGAAAAGAGCAATGATGCTAAAGGGAGCAGAGATCACAGAGAGATTGTGCCAGGATGACTCTGCCACCTCTGAGAGTTATGTTCTCCTTCCTCCAGTGACTTTCCCTTTTCCCAGTATGTCTGCAAGCCAGTGCAGCAGCTCCCAAGGGCTGCACCAGACCGGTGTGCAGGCTGC